CCCCAAAACCCCAAAACCCCAAAACCCCAAAACCCCTTTTGTAGTAAACAAGGTTGAAAAGTAAACAAACATTAAAAATGAAAACTTATGAATAGCATAATAAACACAAGAACTGAGAATGCAGATATATTGGTCGAATGGTTCTTTCCGTACAGTCCCACTCTCTGGCCTTCAGCGTCATGATAGACGTAGTACTCTCTCAGGAAGGAGTCTCCCAGGATCACAAGGCCCCCTATATAACTTGTTAATGAGAGTTCAACAGGAAATTGGCTATTGACTTTGGTATTTACAAAGTGCTTCCCGAACTCTAGACCAAGCCGCCCTTTAGGCTTGACTCAGCCAAAATACTATGAATAGGACTCCAAGGTTGATTTAAAGCTGTTTGTGCTCCTTATTTTGCCGGAAGACGAATAAGTCACTTTTTGTAGTCGTCCAAACATTAAGAACTCGTAAAATCATCAAAAACTTTACTTCCTCAGTTTGATCGACATACTGGTTAATAATTTAGTAAAAACTTCTGACAGGAAAATCTGACAAAAGCAGCTAAGAGAAACCTTACCGAACTCAACAGTATAATAGCTTATATAGAGTAAACAAACATCTTTTGAAATGAGGCTTGGATAGAACTCAGCATAGGCAGAGCCAGGCATCTTGGTATCGTGCTCTCCAAGTTTAATTGTGATATCTTTAAAGTCATTAACCGAGTCTCAGTAGCAAGCAAATGTAGTCGTCCCAGATAAGTATCCTCAATCTTTGCCGTCTTTAATTTCATTCCAAATGTTCATGAAATCTGGATACGGAAATATTGTCATAGATGTTCCTGTATCAAGGACTGCGCTGGTAGATGTCATGTTAAGCTCAGTACCTCCATACTTGACAGTACTCATTTTAACAGTCCAATGAGTATTAGTTCTCAAACTAATCCAATCAAAATCCTCGTTACTTTTGATCAGATCAGTGTCGTAGCCTCCAAGAAGAATTGATGAAGTGCCATTTAGCCATCTGTAGTCGACTCCGAAAGCATTCTTGGCGATAATTCCTGCTTTATAGAGTTCCTCCACCAAGAGAGTGCCAGGTCTTCCTCCAGTAATGGCTGGGCCCATTCCAAGAATCCCATCAGCGACTAGGTTTTGGCCTATAGAATTAGCTGTATCTACACCGAGAAGCTCCATAGTTACATGGCCTAAAGAAGAGGTTACATAGACTTTGTCATTGGCAACATCACCGGCGACCTGTCCTGAGAGGTACTTGACAATGGATCTTGTGCCTGTACTGGAGTAAGAACTTGCTGGAGTATATTTATTGGTGCTTGGGCACGAAGAACAGACATTTAGAGGAGTCCACATGAGTGTAGACCCTGTATCCCAAATGAAGGTCTGGTTGAATTTAGCATCTCCGATGAGAAGACTTGCATAATATTGCAAATCATCGAGGTTTGTCATCGTTATATTAATTTCAGCTAGACCTCTTCCATGTCTCTCCTCAATAGTCTCAATCCCTGACTCAATGCTCTCTCTGTGGTCTTCCAAATAGACCTTCTTCAGGGGCAGTCTGACTGTCTGGGCCATGGCACAAGGAAGGACTCCAAGCTGTAAGACTCCAAGCAGGCACATGACAGTCACAGCCATTAGTAGCCAGCTTCTTTTTGCAGCCACTTTAGTGCTTTTGTTATTTTTTGCGAGCAAAATTAACATTTATACTGACTTCCTAACTTCCAATTTAAAAGCCATGTCACGGGGTTTTGGGGTTTTGGGGTTTTGGGGTTTTGGGG